TGGTTGTAAGAGCAGGAAGGTTGTTGAAGTTCGGAATGTCAAAAAATACTCATTGAAAGGCGTAATTTGGAAAATGTGATCTATTTTGTGTTTGAAATATAAAACGCCATTCAAAAGATTTGAATGAAATACAAATGCGGAAAATCTACAGTAGTAAAACTATATTATTCCAAATAAAATGAAGAAATGCAATGTAAACTCGTAAATACAATAAACTAATACAAAGGCAGAAGAAAATATGACGGTTTACAACACGATCTAACAAAGTTTCCTACACAATTTCCTTGTTGTCCGACGCTATATTAGCGAGATTACTGTAGGTAGGTTCTATTGTATTTTTAAACACTTTATTCAGTCAATGAGGATTTCATATTTTTCCAAGAAGAAAAGTGTATAACAGTAATTATTTGAACGCCAAAAGTTAACGAAGCATTAGAGATAAATTGGTCTAACATTTGTAATAAAAATCACGTTAATTGCAAATATTTTTTTCCATTGGACAAATTAAGAGGAATGTGGAAAACAAACATCTGTAGTTAACGTAACTTTTTATCATAAATTTCAACAACACTTTGATCGCCTTATCCATGTAGTGTTTAAAAATACAATAAGCCTAATATTATTATTTTATGACAAATATAATTGATTATAATCACGCTTTGCGAGTAAAAGTCTTTCACACCATAACAGTTGTTAAATCAACTCTAGTTTGCTGTCAAAACTCCAGTCATTTCATCTTGCAAACTCACGTCAAGAGTGATGTTCTGTATCATATCTTCCGCATATACTAAGTCGAACTTGATGTTTGGCATTATTAAAATCTGTCAATGTCACATTAAGCCTCAGTGAAATAATCTATAAGTACCCTTGAAAATCTAATTATTCTATCGAGCTTGATGGAGACGTACGACCAGGGATGAGCAACTTGGCGGGAAGTGATGGCTTGTAGCAGTTTAAAGTAATATTCCTCAGAAAAAAACACTTGAAATGTCTGTGAACATTTTTAGTAAATAAGGTATTAATTTATTGTTCTTTTAGGCAAGAAAGCAGCAAGGATATACAAAAAATATTACTTTATGTTAGATTGATATGTAAAAAGCTTTTAGTCTTAAGTTGTTTTTAATAGGTTCGCTTAATGTAAGTTACCTTTCAGAATCATTCTAAGAATATATAAAATTTATTAAGCTATTTTTGATATAAAAATTTAAGCCAAGTAACACATCATGTTTTCATATACTACAAAGAAGTTTCTAATACATCATAATCGTGTTGAAATCCTCATTCTTATCGCTTTCTGTTCATCAACGATGACCTACCATCTAATAACATTACAATTAAAATAACGACCATAGAATGTCATCCAATTGTTAATAGACCAATAATGTGTTTAATTGTTACTCGTTGGTTTACAAATAGTCATGGTGAAAAAAAGAAATGTGGCGTTTAAAACAATTTCTACTTGAAGAAAAGGTTTTCAATATATAGCGTGAAAGTTCTTATCCAACATTCACTATTGTTCTTTGTAATATGTTTTTTTCTTATGTAACTAAGGAGCGAATTTTGTTGTTGATTTTTAATGTATTTTCAGGGTTAAATATTCCAATTTTTATACGATGTTCTTGAAAATTTTCTTCTAAAAGAAAGACCAAGGTCACGGGTCTTTCCGAAACACAGCAGTCACAATTGTCTAATTTTAGCTCACTTCCTCCCCCCGAAAACCATCACGACAGCTATCTCAGTTATTTAAGTTTCACACACAAAAGTAAAATAATGGTTATCAATAGATAGAGCAAGTAATTATTTTGCTCACAGTTTACGTTGTGAGTTTACTTACTGATTAAGTATATTTTATTAACAGTTACAGCTTTTTTCAGTAAATAAAATTTCTTTTTAGAACAGGTACGACCTTTCGATCACTGGTGCGATCATTCTCAAGTACACGAGTTTTAACGGTAAAGAACAATGTATTTAAATTCTAAAATGTAGTCAACATTCAACCGTCTTGGATTATTGAATGTAAATTTAAATACTAAAACGTTCTTTACCGTTAAAACTTACATACTTGAGAATGATCGCACCAGTAATCGAAACGTAGTACCTTTTCTAAAAATAAATCTTACTTATTTAAAAGCTACGTATAATTTGTAATAAAATAAAACTATATGTGGTTCAAAGTAGTTTTTTCTAAATCTCAACAACAAGTTTTTTGGATACAATTCCATATTCTGTTTTATCGCAGAGACGGGATTTTGCTTTCTTTACGTTTGTCATTTGGATAGCCTCCCAGTGGCACAGCAGTATGTCTGCGGACGTACAACGATAGAAACCGGGTTTCGATACCCGTGCTGGGCAGAGCACAGATAGCCCATTGTGTAGCTTTGTGCTTAATTACAAACAAATAAACAAACAAATCCTTTGGATATATCTCCTATTACGATGTTCTTCAAACTAAATCAAAACTAAATTTAAAAGTTTTTGAACTAGAAATGTTATTGGAAAAGTGTTTTGCATTGTATTTCCTTTATCTTTCAAACCTAAATTAAAAAGAAATCTCCAAGAGTTCTGGATAGTCACAGTTTAAAATGTTAAAGCGCCCTCTTTTGTCATATAAAGCTGCCACATTGATTTATGCATACCGTAAGAAAATCAAATTGAATAAGAGGTAAAAACAATTTTACATATAAAGAACTTTTGTACTAATTAATTCAGAATTGGCTTTTTCATTTCAGGCTATTTATTCAACGTACTGACAGATTAAACAAGTTAAACTGTGTTTTCTTTAAATAATATAAATTAAATAAAACCGTTTTTCCAGAACTAATGGTTTAATAAGTCTGTATAAAAAATTAGCATGTTTTTTGTTCCTTTAAACTAATTTTGTATGTTATTGTGCTCTGCTACCGAATAATTCATTTTAGTTTTAATCAACATCCGTTTTTGTTTTCCTGCATTGTGCTTTTCCTCTCCAAACAAATAAATGTGTTGTGTTAACCACAAATTTAGTTTTGAATGAAAAGGATGTAATTCAAAGCGTTACTACAACACAAAACTTGTAAACTTTCGTATCGAAACAATCTTTGTCTTCCTAAATTTCAATTCGTGTCTCCAATGTATAGTCTCTTAAATCTATGTTTGGACGAATTGAAAAAAAATGATGTTTAAAAAAAAGTACGAAGAATGTGCATACCTACAAGTAATTGAAATGTAGTAATCATGTTCACTAATGATAAGTTAAAAAACACATTAATTATGTATAAGTTTCCGCACACTAGAAGTGGGGAGTAGAGTCGCTTCTGTGTATATATTATATTGGTATTACATACATAGAACACGCCTGAGGAGAAATTTTAAGTAGTGAAAAAGATTGATCACAAAATCTTCGATTCCTATGGAGACAAGAAACGTCTATAGGTGTTTCTTACTCGTAATAAATGCACACGTGGAGAATGTTCCTAGTACGTGAAGAGAAAATAGCAATACTCTTGCATTGTGAAGGAAAATATAGTCTTACAAACTATGTGATTCTTTGAAATTTATCTGCATTTGTGGAATCCATTTTCCTCTCATATTTTAGTATAAAGTACAGGAACATTTCCTCATCTTTCCCCTCGTCGTTTTCCAGACAATTTCTCAGTAGCCTTGTATGCAATGTCTATTAGGTCCTATCATTTTATATAGGCCAACAGATATGTATCTACCCATCACAGAAAAATAATCATGGTATTATCAACCGATATAAATTCACGAGGTATTGCAACAAGTGCAATAGTTAATATGTTTGATCATATTTTACAAACTTCTGTATAAGGACAATACTGATAAGATAATCGGATATATATAAATATACTTTAGCTTCAACCTTGTGCCGGCCAAAGCATGTTTTTGTTTAATTTGTCATACCCAAAACCATGTAACAGTGGTTGGTTTATCGTGCATAAGTTACGATATATTATCTAATAATTCTCCATATATGCCAAACAGAAGTTACTCTTTCATTATCACTATAACTCTAAATTACAAGAATAATTCATCAAAACCCTTCTACTAACGCCAGAGATATAAGAACCACATAACGAAATACTTCTCCCCTGTACCTCTGTATACAAGGAGGCTTAACTAAAATAAAAATAAAAAATGATGTCAGCTCGAGTTAGAAACGTAATGATGTTTTATGACCAGCTTCTCTTGTTATTAGATCAACTATGTCGATGGCAAAGAAGCTTACGGTACTAAACTAAATAATTAACCATGGAAAAAAGAACGTTTCTTCTTTAAGTCTGTTACTGTCTGTTCTTCCTCCTGCAGTAAACGTCGGTAAAAAGTAAGTAGTCTCCATATCTCTAAGTATAAGGTAGTGTCAAACAGGGTAGACTATAAATTGTTACCTTAGCGAGTTACCTTCAACTCTACTCGTGTTTCAACAGTTTTTCTTCTTCTTCTAACCTACAGACGTATTTATTTACTAGAGCCAGTAACATTTGTCCTTATTTGTCTGTACACATCGAAATATAATATTTATATCTTTTTTTCTTAAATATAATGGGTGGCTCGAATCTTTTCTCGAAATCATCACATTCGTGATTTTTTGTATAAAAATTTAACATACTAAACGGATTAATATACCTAAATGTCCTCTGTATGATTCTCTGTAGAAATCAATGCATTGAATTGTTACACAAATACTTAATTAAATTCGAAGGACTGTATACCAACCCTGCATCGTTCATGGATCATTTACTCGCACATATATACGTTTGGTAGCTACAAGACAACTTACATTAGCAAACCCAGACGTCGTTTAAACGCATGTATCCATGAACACATAAATATTCCCCACAAAACTTGTGAATCTGGGTCATCTCTCTGCACTTCCACTATCTACAAACACATTCTGAGTGCTACTACGCACTTTTATTTTATTCAACGTTTTATATATATTCATATGTTTTATCAGCATTATATAGATTTTATATTGGTTTTTATGTTCATGTTTCTTCCAGTTCCCTTAACTATCAAAGCTGAGAACAAAGTGACCATCCAACTGGTCAACGAGCACGTGACACTATCTTGTGACGTTTTAGCCTACCCAAGAGCTACGTTAAGGTGGGAAAAGGACGGTCAGAAGATAAACCAGGACAGTGACCATTTTCGTATTAACACCACTAACGTCGGAGTGGACACCGTCCGAGGGACGGTTTTAATTGAACATTTGAGAAGATCGGATAATGGGAGTTACATTTGTGTGGCATCCAACAAGTACAACATGTCTACAGAAGCGCAGCATGTCAGAGTGGATGGTGTGTTCGTTTCTTATCATATAATATTGTAATACTCTTTCATTACATCATGCTAAACTGAATCTTTATGTTACCAGTGTATACTGTTTCCCATCATAAGATTTTTATAATAATTGCTTTTGTAAACCATGGCTGGTAAATTGATTACGAACACTACAATTACTCACCATTGTTCCCTTTCTTTCTTATCATTGTTCGCATCATTGTTTCCAGTATTAGTTATATCATCGTAGCTTGTAAGTCTACTAGCTGTTTGTTTAGTATTGATTGTATCACTGTAAACTGTCAGTCAGACTAGAAAATATATTTGTTAAATATGCTGCTGTCCTTCACCATTATTCATATAATAATAATTGTATCATTGCCACTTGTAAGACTGAATAATATATTTACAATTATACTTCTCATAAGATATCAGTATTAAGCCTATTATATATTTAAACACTACATTCTTTATCTAGTCCATTTAGCGTTCTCACCATAACAACTGTTGTTGTATCAAATGGCTTATATGTATAGTTTTCCGACCGCTACTCTGTTTGCTGTATCCCAGCTGACCTGAAGACCTCTGAATTGAGCGAAACGCGTTGTGGGCAATTTACAAGCTGGCGAAGAATGATTACAATTATACTTGTCATAATACATTAATATTAGGCCTATTACATATTACATTCTTTACTTAGTCCCTTAGGGATTTTCAAGGATTAGAAGATTGTGTAATAATAGTCAGGCATACACATGAAAACAATACTTGAATAGTATATTTGTTAAATATGTTACTGTCCTTCATCTTTGTTTATATAGTATAAATTGTATCATTGCCACTTGTAAGACTGAATAGTATGCTTATTAAAGACGTCACTGTCTCTCATTGTTGTTTTAGTAAACCGTTACAGCTTGTCAGACCAGCTAGTATGCTTGTTAAAGACGTTGTTGTCCGTCATTGTTGTCCTTAGTAAATGTTGTATCCCTGTAATTTAGTGTGTTTTTAAAGGTGTCATTGTCCTTCATCATTGTTCCTAGCAATAGTTACAATTCGAACTCGTCGAACTCGTTAAAGAAGTTACTATCCATTATTGTTGTTTCTAGTAATAGATGTACCATTCGAACTTGTCAAACTGCTAGCATGTTTGTCAAAGATGTTACTGTCCCTCATCATTGTTCCTAGCAATAGTTACAATTCGAACTCGTCAAACTCCATTATTGTTGTTTCTAGTAATAGATGTACCATTCGAACTTGTCAAACTGCTAGCATGTTTGTCAAAGATGTTACTGTCCCTCATCATTGTTCCTAGCAATGATTGTATACTGTAACATGTCAGGCTGACTAGTATTATTTGACAAGACTTATGGTGCAGAATGCTGAGCTACAACATACAAATTCTTAATTTAAACATCATTTATATTAGTCGTTTATGAGGCAAATCTTATTATCATCGCTATTGTAATTCAATATCAAACACAAATTGCTGCTAAATAGTAATATGATCTTTAGAGACGTTATTGTGTGAGGCGTATCTTTTTATATCACAAACCTACAGAAACCTTAGATTTATTCAAATTCAAAACCTCTAATCTTGACGCCTGCTTTCATTACACCTGAAACATTGCTTAGCACTCGTCAAAACTGTTATATTTGTTACATCTCTATTTTGAAGAACTTTTCTCCTCTTTTCTAAGTAAAGCACTGTAAATCTGTTACGCGTACAATATTCTACAGTAATCACGTCACTATGGCAACAAAAGTTATATCAATGTGAAGGATCAGTAATAGAAATATTTCCCTTTTAAAGTTTTACTTTCCTAGGGAAAGTATACTTACGGGATCCAAAATTTAATTTTTTAACCAAGTAATCGATATATTTGTGTTAAGAAAGACAAAATATGAAACAAAAACTGTAAACATGTAACTAGTCCTGATTAAAACAAGAATAAAAATTTTACATCATGAACACAGCTGCTTGTCCTAATACATTCTGTACTAGCTTCGCTACCGTCAGTTTGTCAAGATAAACTCTTAAGATTTACATGTAAAATCGAATTCACACAATTTTCTTGCTTAGTTTCAACAGTGCTAACTAGTTCTTTCAATTACGTACTAAGGGGAAAACTTGTGCTTAGCGCACAAAAATTTTTTACTTTGTAGTGGTATTTTGTATTTGAAAGTTCAAAGTTTATAAGGCAGTGCTGTGTAGTTAAAGTATGTAAAAAAAAATTAAAGTCACCTGCCCAGACTATTCACGTATTTAGATTAGGTACGTAGAGTTCTGAACGAATCTGACGGCCGTGTGGGGCGTCTTAATGACTGAGAGGTTAAACCTAAGTGGGTTAAGCCTAGCCCATAACACCTGATACCCACCAAACACCTCTAGAACGAAAAACATTTTGACTCATATGGTGTGATCAAAAGTTACAAACTGATCACTTATCTAGTTAGTTAGACACAGCAGATCAAGTGACGCTTCCAAAACCTGGGTATCGGGGGCAAATATTAAAACTCAACATAGAGACGGTACCGGTACTCTAAACGAATATAAACAAATGAAGAAATTGATACACAAAACCTTAACGCGTAAACTCTGATGTCTGATATTGGGTTCTGAGGGATAACACATTCATTCTCTAAATACCTTTTCCCTTTGCAATGCAAAGTACTAGCTAAACTCCCCTCTCCCTTACGGATATGATGACCTACTTCTAATTTATATTTTACCTAGTTCAATGAAGTTGAAAAAGCTTTCCCCATACGTTACTCTTTTAATGATATAGTTACTGTACTATACCCAGCTATATTATATCCAACTTCTAAATTAATGTATTCCAACATTATAAGGTTTTGTTTTATGACATTGCATACTCTTAGTTGAACGAGTATATTAAATTAGTAACTTTAGTTTCTGGGTTAATCTATATTTTTCCGTCAATGAAGGTAACTTACTTTGATCAGATCCCTGCAGATTCCCACTGGAAATAGTCATCTAATCAGAAAACTAGTTTCCCATTGGATGGTAACTTTTTATTCCCTTTTGGGCATTTTTAAAATATTACAAAATCAAAATCACGGGTTAACCTGTTGCATATACTGCATAAAACGTTATGAGAAGGCCAACTTTATAAATAACAGTTATCAGTCATCAAGGTCCTTTGAAAACACTTGAAAAATTAAGAGTTTGTTTGTAGAATTTTCATACCGAGAAATTATACAGTTCTATATTTACTGAGTAATGTAGTACAATGTATTACCGTATAAATGTATATTACTATACAAGCAAATGTACCTACGCCTCGCACAGTATTTACTTCGTTGTTATTCCAATGATATTTTAGGCAGCGTGGGCCTAAAAAGGTAGAGGTTTTGCTTTAATGGACAACGTTTCGGTTTCTATACTGAAGCTTTCTTCAACGTGAAGAGGCCTCTATATAGAGGCCGAAATGTCGTTCCGCTCTATAAACAGGTAGAAGCAGTCCTTAAAGTCTATTTATCTCGTTGACTTCACGGTGATAGCGGATCGGCATACGTGTGCGTCACTCGCCATGCAGGTCTCGGCGTCGACTTTATCTAGTACAAATTGAACTGGCTTCCGTCGACTTCACCTAGTACAAATTGAACTGGCTTCCGTCGACGTTATCTAAAAAAAATAGAACTGGTTTCTATCGACTTTACCTAGTAAAAATTGAAATGGCTTTTATCGACTTTATCTAGTAAAAATTGAACTGGCTTCCATCGACTTTACCCACTAAAATTGAACTGGCTTTCATCGACATTACTTAGTAAAATTGAACTGGCTTTCATCGACATTACCTAATAAAAACTTAACTGGTTTCCATCGGCTTTACCTAGTAAAAATTGAACTGGTTTCCATCGACTTTACCTAATAAAAATTTAACTGGTTTCCATCGACTTTACCTAGTAAAAATTTAACTTGTTTCCATGGACATTACCTAATAAAAATTTAACTGGTTTCCATCGACTTTACCTAGTAAAAATTTAACTGGCTTTCATCCACATTACCTAATAAAAATTTAACTGGTTTCCGTCGACTTTACATAGTAAAAATTGAACTGGCTGACAAGCTCGAACTTTTCGTTCGATTGCTTGTCTTTTTAAAATCAATATTTGGAATGACCCACTTAAATTCCTCCACCAAGTACATTCAAAATTGGTTCAAACATTTCCTCAACTTGTAACATCAAAACGCCAGAGTGAAACGAAAACTCTGCTTCATATCTATAGCTATTACTAATATCAATAATATATATTACTATAGTACTGAGAATTATAGTTGATAAATTTGACATTGCTCTTTTTCTAAGAAGAATTGTATTTGATTTATTCGAATCTTCTTCGATTACACTGGCATATTATTTTATGTGTGTAACTTCTTTTAGAGCCGCCAGAGATCAGTTTGGACGAAATTAAAGCTGAAGACTCACGCACAGTTTCATTAAAGTGGCACACCACGTTCACAGGTAACAGTCTTATCACCCGTTTTCACCTACGAGTGAAGAATTATAGCACTGGATCCGATTGGATGGACGTGGATAATAACATCTCTACTAATATCACTTCGTACACTGTCAGGCTACTGGCTCCGGCCATGACCTATGGGTTTCAAATTGCTGCCATCAACAGTGTTGGAAGAAGTGACTGGCAGAATGAAAACATTACCATGCCCCCTGATGGTAAGTCCAGAAACTCACAAGTATTTAAACTGAGCTCCATGAGCAAATAATTCATTGTCTTTCGTCGTAGTTACTATTAATTGCCCACGAACTATTTCTCGTAACTGGTTCAAAATGAACTTGAAAAATAAAATTCCGTGTGTAACTTTAACGTTTTATTGGCTAGAGTGGCACTTGACGTTAAAGAAAAAATAAAAAGCTTATTGAAAGAAATAAGTATACTTATACAAATAATTTTTTTATTATATATTTGCGGCAAAAATGGATTGGTAGGTATAAAATTATATATATATCTGTGTGTGTGTGTGTGTGTGTGTGCTTAGCCGGGTGGAGGGTTAATAGGAGGATGTGCGTGTAAGTATTTATGAAGAAAACAGTGTAATAATTATATAAAAACACAAGACTCTCATAGTTTTTCACAACTTTTTTACATTAATCTTGCATCAGTTTTGCATATTCCTGGACTTACACTCCCCACAGTTAGTTTATAAATCAATTCAAAAACTTATTATTATTAGTTCTATACTCCGGACAGTAATGTTTGAATCTTAGCGGGTACTACTGACTTCTCATCATCAGTTCTATACTACGGACAGTTATGTTTGAATCTTAGCGAGTACTTCTGACTTCTCATCATCAGTTCTATACTACGGACAGTTATGTTTGTTAGTAGTACTCGCTAAGATTCAAGAATAATTGTCCCTAGTATAGAACTGATGATGAGAAGTCAGGAGTACTCGCTAAGATTCAAACATAACTGTTCCTAATATAGAACTGATGATGATAAGTCGGTAGTACCCGCTAAAATTCAAACATAACTGTCCGTAGTATAGAACTGATGATGAGAAGTCAGGAGTACTCGCTAAGACTCTTCTCATCATCAGTTCTATACTAGAGACAGTTATGTTTGAATCTTATCGGGTACTATAGATTTATCATCATCAGTTCTATACTACGGACAGTTATGTTTGAATCTTAGGGTCTCTACTCTGACCATTTAACTTATGTATCGCATAAAGTGCTGTTCAGGTTGAGAATATCAAAAACCAAACCGAAAACTGTATATGTTTCTTCTTCTTAGTATTGTATAACCATTCATCAGTTCTTGTTGGTTTCTTGAGAATATTACTGACAACTTTTAATTTTTATAGATATTATAGATAAAATATAACACAAAGTTAATATTACTTAAGTTTCAATTTTTATCCACATAATAAAAGGTGCAAATTATCTTTTTAAAGTTTTACAACGTAAAATGAAAAGAAAAATAGCCTGCTAATATAATTAAAATAATTATATTCGCTGATTGTCTTACGCTTACCCTCTAAGCAGAAACCGTTGTGATTTGCAGTCTATATAATGTTCACAGCATTTTATGTTGTTTTTCTGTAGTTATTGATTAATACGGGTGTCTCTATGTCATTAAACATCAAAATCTCTTTACATTTACTAATGACTAACACAATGGATTTGGAAAGATAAAAAACAAGGCTCCTTTGAGAATAGCCCGAATTTACTGATGTTTTTTTGTTGTTGTTGTTTTACTGATCCGCCATGAACATGATTGTTTGTTTCTATAATGTAGTTTGTTCTCATTCGACCGCTTTCTACTTCCCGTCGTCTCTTCTTGGAGGTATATCAAGGTATCATGGTCGACTTATGTAAACGGGGGTAACTCTTAAAGTAACTTATTAAATTATTAATAAGTATACCCATTGATAAGTATACATGTATGTGCAACTATGAAGATTGATGATTTAATAGTTGGCTTCTTCATAACTTGACTGAGTAATAATAGATTATTATGAAAAAGCTGGAAATACAACCAGGATCTGTCAAATTAAATTTTGGAATAAATGGTTGGAAAAATGTAATTGTGTTTCACACGGAGTCGTTTCACCATGATCAATTGCTTTTGTGATGAACAACAGTTTTTGAAAAACCAGTGAAGAATTATATACATATGAACAAAAACTATCCTCAAACCTGGTAACTTACAAAAAATAAGGCTAATAAAAAAACTACCTCGGTATTTCTTTTGTCATTTGGAAAACTAACAACAATTTATCTACGTACGAATAGCTCACACACGTAAGCTACACAAGGTTACTACCGAACTGTGAGCAGATTGTATGATGTTAGACAAAGATTGCTTTTTTGTTCTTATTATCATTGCAGTTAGGTATTACTTTCCTACGATAATGTTGAATTTATCTACCAAGATTGATTATTTGACAGTTGGCGTCTTCATAACTTGACTGGGTTTTAATAGATTATAATGAAAAGGTTGGGAATAAAGTCAGAATCCGACAGGATAATTTTTGGAACAAATGGTTAGAAAATTGTAATTGTGTTTCAGACGGAGTCGTTTTACCACTGGCCAATGATTTTGTGATTAACAACAGTTTTTGAAAACCAGTGAACAATTATTGCTGTAGTTAAATATATGCACTTAACGATCAAAAAACTGTTTCGTGAAGTATTAACTTAACATAAATGGGGTGAAAATCGCGTAAGGAACAACATCTAACATTATATCATTAAATCTTTTGTTTTCCTGTCAGCAGATGAGGCTCAGGAAGAGTAGAAAGTGTTCTCTATTTCCCCCAAGAATAACTGACAGATGTGTAATTTCTGAATCTATATACATTAAAAATCCCCTTGAGTCTAGAATGTGTACCAATGTTTTCAAATACAGAAGTGTAATTAAGTCCCATCATTAAAGTTTCTTTTCGCAAAAAGTATTTAATTTAGATCATTTAGAATTAATTTATGTATCGTTAGAACCTAACAACCTGTGAAATTATTCAAGCAATAAAAATGTGTACAGGACAAGTTTTAATGACAAAATTAGCTGTTGAAATATTAGCATATAAAAGTACACGTTAAGTACGATACTAATCCAAAAACAATAATTTACTTGATCAATTATTGAACTGAAACTACTACAGCTTAGCCGAATTATAAAATAATTATAGTTTTCTTTAGATAAAGTTTTAGATAGTGTGTGTTGACATATTTAAAAACTGCATATGGAGTGGTGTTTAATTTTGAAAGCGACGTCTTGGAGAGTTTTAGAAATTTAGCATAACACTGTTGAAATTTATTTTTACAATTATACGTATTTGGTTATTGTTATGATACTTAACTTATCTAATGCATACTTTACAAAAAATAGAGAGCTTGGAATATTATTTCTAAAACTAATATTTAATTTTCAAATTCTAGGCAAATGCTTAACTTTTTTGAACATTAATTTTCATACGCTAGCTTCTAGTAATAACATTACCACTATAAACTGTTAGGAACCTACATCTTTAACTACATTATTTAGCAGTACCTCGGAGAAACAAAAATACCAATAAGAGTCAGAATTCAGGAGCATAACAGACATACAAAACTCTTTAATACCGACGTGTTTGTAATAATCCATCGTTTCACAGAAGACTAACACCACACAATAAAATGGAATACTAAAATAATGGAATATTAACCACACATGAGAAAAAAAGAAAGATAAAAGAAACCTTTTTACAATCACCTAACTGTTAATCTAGTCAGTATGATAAAATAATAAAACTAATTAATAGTCAGTATCTATTAATTAGACATAGCTGATCGTATAAGCTATGAACTACCATAATGACGATTTATATCCGTTTGCCACAACCTTACCATAAGTACATAACACAAATCATTCAAACGTATATACAAACGTATATTTTGATTTATATGCGAAAATTAAACTATTAATATGCAAATTGCAAAGCGATTCCCCCCAAAATATTTTCCTCGAATACTTGAAACTACGAAAAGTTCGTTTGAAGGTTCGTATTAGGATGATCGAACTTTGTGTCTTTAAACATTCCACTATCAATATCCATCGATACACCCAACTAAGCTGATTGTTCAACTCAACCAAATCCATTTTTCAAGTAGATAAAATATAACATCGATAACCGTTATCAAAGAGACGTATCATAGATATTCCAAGAATATATAGTAAGATAAATGGAAATTGTAAGAGTTGGAAATATTTATGCACGCATGTATGTGTACAAACTAAAAAGTAATGTATACAGACGTGATAAGTAGGAGCCATGTGATAAATATATAAATATAGTACAGAAAAAAAAACTAAGTTTTAGTTGTTCAGTAATATATTCTTATTTCTCACCTAAGGTTTTGTTATGCTGTTTATAAGCATCATGGAGACTGGAATACTGAATTCAGCGGATACGTTTTCTTATCATTTCCGAGGTCTATATCTTTAATAATGTATTGCATTATTCATGTTCCTGTTTCTCTGCCATTAACTTTCTTCGCACACTAAACTGGAAACAGTAAATGTTAGTATATATCTGAGATCACACTAAGCTGGAGACATTAAATGTTCGTATATATCTGAGATCTTCTAAGCTGAAGAACCTACATCCACTCCTAGCTATAATTCTTTATTTTTTCTGTTTCGTTATATTTCGCGCATTAAACTTGAGAATAGGTAATAAATTCATTGTGAAAGTTCAGTTTCTCAGGTCAAACTTTTACTTTCACTGTTCTAGTTTGAAGTTTGTGCCCTGTATCTAGTTGCCAATTTTATGTTTTAGGTCTTTAAATAAATGTGTTTGATTGTTGAGTTTTGTCCAAAGCTACACAAGGATAACTGCCCTATCCGTCCTAATTTTGAAGTGAGAAATACAACCCACCGCCAACTCTTGAGTTACTTTTGTCAGACCGTATAGTGGAAGTTGACCATTACTCTTATAACGCACCTAAGGCGCCAAAGGGTTACAGCACACTATTTTGTAAGATTTTTGGTAACACGCTTTGTTACGTTAGTATGTCATATATTACGAAACACACGTTCTTAGCTTCAATATCTCGCTTATAAACGTTGCTTGTGATAAAAGTCCTTTAGAGTCATATAGATAATAGTAGGTTTAAAAAAATAACCGCAACTTAACTTTACGATTTATGTTCAAACTGACAAAACTAGCGTTGGTGAGATTATGGAAAACACCGTAAGTACTATTATTAAGCTATCTCATCGTGGTCTATGTAGTATTTAAAATTAAAATTTAATGAGATTATTTCTTTGTAGCTAATAACCAAAGAAAGTGGTTTTTATGCATTAGAAAACGTCACTTGGTATCTTCATGATCTGAACTACATAAATCATCGCTTTTTATGATGAAATGATAAATATAAGAAGTATAATAGGTTAGATGGCGCTGTTTTTGTGTCTGTAATAATCTAATAACTTTCGGGTAGAGAACATGTGCAAGATGTTTTTTTAGTAAATCCATTTGTTCGCGCCCGAAGGTGTCGGAGCTCCAACGTTGGTTATTAAACTGTAATCAATTCCTTTTCTTTCCTGAATGTAATCCTAAAGTTTGTTTGTTTTTTCTTTGCTTCTCTAATACCATCGGTGAATGTGAAGTTCATTTGTAAAGATTACACCGGTTTGTTAGGATTGTTGTCTCTCTTTCTAAGCTCAGAGCACGTTGATATCTTTCTGGTATATATAAAACTTCGAACAGCTTTACTAATGGTACAACTTATTTCGAAAAGTACATTTCATCAATATAAAATTCTCATCTACTTTGTACACTGTTAAATAAAGTATCTCAGAAATATTCCACTTTACTTTGTACACTCTTACAATAAATTCTTTCAGACCTTTTCCTCTCTACTTTGGACACTGTTACATAGGGTTTCTCAAAACTCTTTAACCTCTTTTATAGACTGTTACTTAAATTGTCTCAGATATCTTTACACTGGTTTTCTACACTGTTACATAAAGTTTATCGGAACTCTTCTTGTCTGTATTATACGCCGTTACTTATTGTGTCTCAGAACTTTTCCTACCCATTTTGTATACTGTTGCACAAAATGTCTCAGAACTTCTCCTGTATATTTTTTACACTGTTACGTATTGTACGCTGTTACCTAAAGTTTATCTTAAATCTTCCTGTATATTTCTACACTGTCACCTTAAGTGTTTCAGAACTCTTCCTATCTACTTTCTACACTTTCACATAAATTATCTCAGAACTCTTCCTCTCTGTTTTCTGCGCTGTTACATAAAGTATCTCAGAACTATTCCTATCTACTCTGTCATCTGTTATATAAAATGTCTCAGAACTTTTCATCTCTACTTTGTAAACTGTTACATAAAGTGTCTCAGAACTATTCCTCTCTACTTTGTAAGCTGTTACATGTCTTAGAACTCTTCCTATCTATTTCCAACGTTGTTACCTAAAGTATTTCAGAACTCTACCCTTTTACTTTGTATGCTGTTACATAAAGTGTCAGAGAAATCGTTCAGTCTGTTTTGTACATTGTTACATAAAGAGTCTCAAAACACTTCCTGTATACATTTTACGCTGTTACCTATAGTGTCTCAGAACTCTTCCTATCTACTTTCTACACTTTTACATAACGTGTCTCAGACCTATTTCATTCTATTTTGTACATTGTTTCTTAAAGTATCTCAAAACTCTGCCCGTTTACTTTGTACGCTGCTACATCAAGTGTCTTAGAAGTCGTTCAACCTGTTTTTTACTCTGTTACCTAACTTATTTCAGAACTCGTTCTGTCTACTCTACATGTTGTTACCTAAAGTGTCTAAAAATTCTCCCTTTTACTTTGTACCCTATTTCATAAAGTTCACAAAACTCTTCCAGTGTATTGTATATTGTTACCTAAGTTGTCTCAGAATCCTCCCCTTCTTTGTAAGCTGCTACATAAAATATCTCAGAACTCTTCCTGTCTATTTTCTACGCTATTACCTAAAGTGTTTCAGAATTCTTCCTGTCTGTTTTATACTCTATTACCTAAAGTGTTTCAGAACTCTTCCTCTCTACTTTCTACATTGTTACATAAAGTATCTCAGAGCTCTCACCTTCTACATTATATGCTATTACCTAAAACGTCTCATAAATCTTCCTGTCTGTATTGTATGCTGTTACCTAAAGTGTACCGGATCTATCAAGGCAGTTATAACTGGGGAAATTAAAAAGATGATAGTACCAACAGAATACCGGACTCAAGTAATGAAATTGGTTCATGAGTCGATTGTGTGAGGTCACCTAGGAGCTAAGAAGACGGCAAACATAATCACCAGCAACTTTCATTGGCCTGGGTCATTGGAGATGTGACCAGATTCTGCAGGTCATATGATATCTGCCAAAGGACAATACCTAGAGAGAAGATAGCCAAGGTGAGATGCCTCTCATAGAAGAGCCATTCAGCAGAGTAGCTGTGGACGTAATTGGACCACTAGCACCTGTTTCTGACAATGGCTACCGGTATGTGCTGATAGTAGTCGACTATGAAACCCATTACCCAGAAGCCAAAGCACTGCCGAAGATAGAGAGAGAGAGAGTACTAGAAGCCCTCCTAGAAGTATTCTGCAGAGTTGGCTTCCCAAAAAGAAGTATTGAGTGACAGAGGGACCCAATTTACCTCAGAACTGATGTAAGAGGTGTACAGGATTTTTACCCTTTGAGTTGCTATACGGAAGAACAGTACGAGGTCCGATACAAATATTGAAAGATCTTTGGACAGGAGAAGAAGAGTCAGAAGCAAAGAACACATACCAGTAGGTGTTAGACCTCAGAAACCGACTGGAGGAGACCTGTCAACTCGCTCGAGAGAGCTAGTTTACATCTCGAGACAGTCAGAAGCACTTGTATGACAAGAAGACCAAGGATCGACGTTTCGAGGTCGGACAGAAGGTGTTGATTCTGCTAACTACAGATAACAACAAACTCAAACTGCAGTGGAAATGACCTTTTGATAAGATTAAAATAGCATATTTAATGTTTTACTTATAAAGCGAAACTTTAAATGCTACATTAAGCAAATTAAATGAATAAATTTAAGACTTTGGTTATTACTATAAAGTTGATGTCATGTTGGTTCATCTGCACTCTCATAATACCAACGTGGCCTCTGGTACTGCTCCGTGGCCCTAACGACACGCTCTCTGTTAAGTAGCATTTGAGATATTATTTCATGGCTAGCAACACACTTTCTAGTAACATACAATTTCCGTTGTCCTGGCGGTATGACAACTTCTGCTTAGCTACATGTTCTTGGTACTGCCCTCTGGTTCCACTTTGTGAAACTATGACGTCATTGTCTCTACCCTATGTCCTGAGGTCGACGCACATGTTGTCCTCTGGTGGCATGCCATGCAACAATTCAGATAACTACACTGGTGATTCACTCACGAACTATCTGCACACTCATTATACCAAGGCGCTCTTTGGTGCCACTTTGTGGCCCTAGCAACGCGCTTTCTGAACAACTTCCGTTGTCAAGTGTTATGGTGGCAAGAAACTAACCCTTGCTATGGCGGCCGCAACGCGCCCTCTGATTCCACTTCGTGGAATTATGATATCATTGTCTTTACAACTCCCCGTTGCCTGAAGTCGACACACGTGTCGCCTTCTGGTGGAGTGTCGATCAACTTTGTACACTGTTACATAAAGTGTCTCAGGACTGTCCCCTTCTACTTTGTACAATGTCACAAAAAGTGTCTCAAACTCTCCCCTTCTATTTTTTATGCTATTACGTAAAGTGTCTTGGACTTTCCTCTTCTACTTTTTACGCTGTCACATAAAGTGTCTTGGAACTTTCCTCTTCTACTTTGTGCACTGTTGTCTAAATATATTATAACTCTTCCTTTCTATCAGAATTATTTCAGTCTTATCTAAAGTGTCTAGATATCTTCCAATCTGCTTTGTACACAGTTGCTTAAAGTGTCTCAAAACTCATCCCGTGTACTTTGTAAGTTATCTAAAGTGTCTCAGAAATATTCTTCTCTATTTTGTGCAGTCCCACCAAAAGTATCTCAAATCCACGTTTTCGCATCAACAAACCAGACTCTGTTGTTTGGATGGAAGAGACCTACCCACGACAACGGCGCTGTAATCACACACTATATTCTTCAGCTAAAGCACAAAGGAAAACTTGTGGCTAACGAAATTTTAAATGGAACTTCTAGACAGAAGGATAACCAAACTGACAGTACCTTTAAAAACCGTCGCAGCAACTACATGTATTTATTTGGCAACTTAAATCCAGGAGAAACGTACGCATTTCGGGTAAGGCTGAATACTTTTCTCTTCTTCTATTTTTGTTTTTAGAATTTTACTACTAAAGACTTATTTGTAATTATCTGTATGTTTGTTATTTTTTAATTTACTTTTACATAACCCTGTATTTTCGTTGTGCTCTTTGCTTTTTGTTTTTTATTCCTTCCAAAAGATATATATTTATATATTACGTATATCCGTGTGTGTAATTCGCTTCTCCATGTATTACTGTACATGCAATCTTGATAAAATTTATATTCTTTTACTTGATAACGTCACTCATAAATCTTATTAATTTCTTCATTCACCAGACTCTAGCTTACAAAGCTTCGTACACTGACTACTCTCTGTGATGAAGTAATGCATTGTTTTCTTTCTTTACAAACTTCATTCTATAAAGTTCCAACCCTGTTTAAATAAACTCTGGTAGGTCTGCCCTTTATGAAGTTTATTTTCATTTTGTCTCCTATTTCATGTTTCACTTTGTTCTGCTAAACCTATGTTCAACCTTTTGTAGACTTGAGAAGATTACTTCTTCCTAAGAATAACTTCTGATAGCTTTAAAAAATGTCAGCGCTGTTTGTTTGTTGTTGTTTTCTTGTCATTTTTAATTAAAAAGAAAAAATGAAACCAATTGTGTTTGATTCATATCTCCTAAAGAAATCAGCTCAAAGATTAATATAAAATAAAGGCATCGATTGTTTCATATTCATCATCTGAATATTATTCACTAACTTGCCTCCCCCTCGCCCCATGGATAAGCGGTAAGTATTAGAACTTATAACGCTACAAACTGGGTTTCGATACCCGAGGTAGTCACAGCACCGATAGCCCATTGAATAGCTTTGTGCTTAATAGCAAATAAATGAAAACTCATTAACTTAGAGATTGGTAGGTTGGACATGTTGTTTACAATATCGAATCCACATTTACACTGGCCAACAACTTTTTTTCTAATCCTTTTAAGATGTCCGTCGCTCATCTAATGGAAATTCTTATCGTCATGGTTTGTCTGAGCAGACTTTCTTAAGATGCTGTACACAAAACTAGTGAATAGTTTAACTAGATAAATGAAAGGTGGGCACAAGCTTTTAAAATTTAGGACTTTTTGAGTAACTTGGTTCATATGGAACGTCATTCTAGATGGCAAATTTTAACGCTAATATTTAAAACAAGGATCATGCAAAATTTTCATTTATAAACAAGTAATGACATTTCGAAGACGAAGCAATAGTTATTAATTTTAAATGGCTTCCCAATGACTACCAAATTGCATTAAACTATCTAAGCTCATCTTTTTAAATAGTGACTATAAACTCGATTCGTTTTACTTTCTTTGTTGGAAGGCCGGGCGTAGCCAAGTAGTAAGTGTGCCAGAACTGTCAATCCCATGATTAATGGTTCGGAACCTGTTACTGCTAAAACGCACTCTGCACTAAGGGGACTTAGGTATGCCATAAGCGTGAAAATGAAATCCCGCTACTTAATTGGACAAAACTAGTGGTGGGTGCTGTTGGGTAGTTGCTTTCCCTCTGGTATATCAGTTCAATTTAGGGACGGCTGCGATCATCGAATCACTATTGCACCCTTGACAGTAGAATTATTGTTCAACACTCAATGACGACAAAATTTGACATAATAATCGCATTTTTTGGTAGCTGGAAGAATAAGAACGGAGGTCTAATTTCGGTAACACATATTATTTACTAACGAAAGTACCCGGCCTCGCTCGGGTTATTAGGTTGATGTATTCTAGTTGACAGTGTCAGCACGTGTATTTCGAACCAATTTTAGCATAAAAGTATAACCTATATACTTTTGTTACTAAGCAACATGACCTACAAGCCATTGTTGGAACGCATTGTTACCAAACGCACTTGCTTTTCTATATATTAGAAGTTGTTATATAGGGAACCACTTCCCTTCTGTGTGGTTTTTCGCTAGTTTACCTTTTTAAAAAGATTCGCGCACGCACCCACGTGCTTGTCTGTGATTTCTATTTGTAATATAAGGAACCACTTCTTTTCATTGTGGTTTTTCGCTACCTTGCCTCATTAAACAAATGCGCAGGTGCATGCGCGCACGCACGTGGATAAGATAAGTAATATTCAGGTGCACACCCTCAGGAGCTACTTAGTACAGGTGCAAAATTTCAGGTTTCTAGGTTATTTCTTCTTGGAGCTATGGCGGTCACACATACACAGACACTCACGCGCGGTCTGGCTGTCTGGGATTTCTAATCGTAATATAAGGAACCACTTCTTTTCAATGTGTTTTTTTTTGCTAGCTTGCCTCATAAAAAGATGCTCACGCACATGCGTGCACAGATAAGTAATAATATGGGTGCAAAATTTCATATTTCTAGGTTCTTTCCCCTAGGGACACGTGCGTGTCTGTCTGTCTGGGTGGCTGTGATTTCTATTTGTAATATAAGGAACCACTTCTTTTCTATGTGTATTTTCGCTAGCTTACTTCATTAAAAATGGATAAGATAAGCAATACCCAGGTGCATACTCTCAGGGTCCACTTAGTACGGGTGCAAAATTTCAGGTTTCTAGGTTCTTTCCTCTTAGAGTTATGTTGGTCACATATACACAGATATGCATATGCACATGCACACATGTGCGTATCTGTCTGTCTGTGATTTATATTCAGAATATAAGGAACCACTTATTTTCTATGTGGTTTTTCTCTAGCTTGCTTCTTTAAAAAGATGCGCACACGCGCGTGGATAAGATAATTCATAATTCCCAGTTGCACTCCCTCAGGGTTCACTTAGTACGATTGCAAAATTTCAGGTTTCTTGGTTCTTTCCTCTTGGAGATATGGCGGTCATACACACACTGATAGAAACACAGACACGCTTTTTTATTGTTATAGATACACCAAATAAGTCATAAAATAACTTACTGTCTTTCGAAAATTTT